CCCGGGGTTCGCCGGTTCGGATCCTGGCGCGCACCAATGCACCGCTTGGCAAACCACGCTTTGGCGGCATCCCATATAAAGTGGAGGAAGATGGGCATGGATGTTAGCCCAGGGCCAGTCTTCCTCAGCAAAAAGAGGAGGATTGGCAGATGTTAGCTCAGGGCCGATCTTCCTCACAAAAACAAAAAAAAAAAAGACAGCCAACAAAAGCAACAACTAGAATATAAATTCATTCCAGATGAAGTTTAATTTTACAGAACAAAGACCTCTTTTTTAAGTATATTTAGGGTGCTAGGATATAAATTTTTTAAATTACTGGGAACACAAAATGGTACAGCTACTTTGGAAGACAGGCCATATTGTACAAAGCTAAACATACTCTTACCATATGATCCAGCAATCACGCTCCTAGGTATTTACCCTAGAGAGTTGAAAACTTATGTCCACACAAAAACCTGCACATGAATATTTATAGAAGCTTTATTCATAATTGCCAAAAACTGTAGTAAACAAGATGTCCTTCAAAAGGTGCACGGATAAACCAACTGTGGTACCTCCACACAATGGAATATTATTCAGCGATAAAAAGAAATGAGCTACCAAGGCAAGAAAAGATAGAGAGGAACCTCAAATGCAGAATGCTAAGTGAAAGAGGCCAGTCTGGAAAGCTACAATGCTGTATGATCCCAACTATATGACATTCGGGAAAAGGCAACACTGAGGACAAAGTAAAATGATCAGTGGTTACCAGGAGCTCAGAAGGAGGGAAGAAACATGGGGTTTTTCAGAGCAATGAAATTATTCTGTATGATACTGTAATGACATTACATGCAATGTTCATGCAATGACATTGACAGTGCATGACATGTGGCATTTGTCAAAACCCACAAAACTGCTGGACACAAAAAGTAAAGCCTAATATAAACTATGAACTTAAGTTAATAATCAGGTATCAATATTGATTCATCAGTTGTAACAAATGTACCACACTAATGCAAGACAGGGGAAACTGCTCATGGGGCTAAGGGGGTATATAGGAACTCTTTGTACTATCCACCCATCCTGGTCACATTCAATTATGTACATAATTTTTTTAAATATCATGGACGATTCTGGGTATACACACAAAAGAACTGAAAGCAGAGACTTGAACAGATATTTGCACACCCATGTCACAGCAGCGTTATTCACCATAGTCAAAAGGTGGAAACAACCCAAGTATCCACTGATGGATGAATGAATAAACCAATGTGGTATATACATTCAATGGAATAGTATTTAGCCTTAAAAAGGAAGGAAACCCTGACACGTGCTACAATACAGAAGAACTCTGAAGACATTAGGCTAAGTGAAATAAGCCAGACACAAAAGGACAAATATGGTATGATTTCACTGACGTGAGGTAGCCAGAGCAGTCAAATTCATAGAGACATAAAGTAGAATCGTTTCCAGGGGCTGGAGGAAAGAGAGAATGAGGAGTTAGTGCTTAACTGGTACAGAGTTTCAGCTGGGGAAGATGAAAAAGTTCTGCACATGGAGGATGGTGATGGTTGCACAACAATGTGAATGTACTTAATGCCACAGAACTGTACACTTAAATGGTTAAAATGGTAAATTTTACATTATGTATATTTTACAACAAAAAAATTATGAGAAAAAGTGCTGAAAAACTGGTTATCCGAATTGGAAAAAAACATTATATCTCTTCATTATACCATACAGAAATTCCACATGGAAAGCAAAAAAAATTTTTTTTTAATTTTAGAAGAAAATATAGAAATATACAATTTATATCCAGGGGTAGAGAAAATTTACTTAAACCAGACACACACAAATTTTTTTTTTTTAACTTAGGGGAAATTTTTTCTTAAATATAACATTAAAATTTAAAACTTGTATACAACCAAAGACCTTGTTAACAAAGGGAAAAGGCAAGCCTCAGATGTCAGGATGCATTTGCAACACATATATCTATCAAAGAATTAGTATCCAAAGTAACCTAACTGTCCCTCAGTGAATGAAGGATACATAAACAGTGATTTAATTCTACAACTGAACACTACTGAGCAGTTAAAAATAAATGAGCCAGATCCACAAGTAGCAACATGGTTAAATCTCCATCAATTAAAATTTAAAATGTGCACCCCTTTGACCCAGCAAATCTACTTTTCATTCACTGCAGCAATGTCTGGAATGGCAAACAGCTTAAATGGCCATTAATGAGGAGAGGATAAAATAAACTACAGTACAGTACATACTGCATAAGAGATTGTGTGGGAGTCAAGAAGAACCAGGTAGATAGATCCCTATGTTCCACCATGGAAAGATCTCAGACATTCTGTTACAAAAAAAGTTGTAGAACAATGTGTATGGTGTCATGTCATTAATGTGGGGGGTGGGAGGAAACCCTGTTTTCTGTATTACCTATATATAGATGAAAACGCATAGAGAAAGGGCTGGGAATATCACAACAAAGTGATAACCACAGTTTCAGGGGGGAGAAGGGAGTAGGCCGAGGGGGCTTTTATACTGTCTGTACTGTTGGAGTATTTTATAAGAAAGTGTGCACTCACGAGCCATGTGCAGAGGTGCAGTACACAGCCACACAGACTGTGCACCACACAATCCCAGGAGCTGCCATTCGCAGGGACTCTGCTGTGAATGGCACCCCTACAGCTGGGCAGTACACACCCTGCACAACTAGACGCCACAGCCCTGATGCTTGTCTAACTAGAAATAAACAAAATGAGGGAGGGTGGACTGAAAACCAGCATGAGGGAACTTTCTGGGGTGATGTAAATTTCTACATCCTGATTGAGATAATGGTTACACAGTACATACATTTTTCAAAACACATCCAACTGTACACGGGACATCTGTACATTTTATGATATGTAAACTATACATCAATAAAGTTGATAAATTCAACACACAAATAAATAAAAAACAATATCCTTGGGAGAATCTTGAACAAGGCACCCAAAATTACAGGATCTAGGCACCCCAAAACAAGAACTGGTAGACACCTGCTGGTTGCACTCTGAAGTACACAGTCCTAAAACTAATGAGAAATTAACTTAGTTCTCCAAGGCTTACTACACAATGCCAAATTTGGATTAATATTACCTTTATTTTTTACATGAGGAAACAAAGGCCTTGAGAGATTTCTATTAGACATAAAGTAAACGGTAACTTGGCATTCTATTGGTTCTAATTTTCCAGCTCAGTAGAAATTTTGTCTCTCACACATAGGGGACACTCAAAAACCTTGCCAGCACTACTCTGACTACATAACCCCCTTCAAAGGTAATTCCACTGATGTATGATAAAAATCCTCACAGAACTCATAAAAGGTCAAGTTTTAATTTGGCAGACAAAGTAACCCAACAGGCAGTGCAAGCCAGGGCACTGAAACAGCAGCCTGGAGCTGCAGAGTCCAAAAATCCAACCAAGGCAGAGAAGAGGTAGATTCCAGCCCTCACAGAAGAGCAGACACACATTATCTTACTACAGACCTAAGATCCAAGAACCACGACAAAAATGAAAAAAAATGTTCTCTAGACAAAACTACCCTTCTTCCTCAGTGGCAGAAAAGAGAAGGGCCAGAATGGGATGATTGGCGATGAATGGCCCAAGGAGTAAGCTCCTGACAGCCGACAGGCAATAAATATGTGAAAGCGGCAGCGCGGCCACAAGGAATCATGACTCCCTTACCTTAGCCATTGCTTTAAATGCCAGCACCTAAGAACGTGGGTTACCTTACACCACCAAAAATAAAAAAGAGAGAACTTCAGGAACAGGGGAAGTCCATCAGCCATCCCTAACACCAGAGTTATTGATACTCTGTAAATACAGAGTAAACCTTGCTCTGTAAAATACAGCAAAACCTTGCTTGATTCATTCATTCATGCAATAAATATTTATTGCCTGACTGCTGTGGGCCAGGCACTGTACTTGTCACTGAGGATTTAGCTGTGAATAGCCATGGAGCTTAATTCTAGCTGAGAAGGGAATTTTTCTCTTTCTAAATTTCTTTTTCCCTTCTCCCCCTTTAAATGTTACACAGAACAGCCTTCAAAACTGTCCCAAATTTCTCCCGCAAGCTTCTTTGACTCTCTTGCTTTATCCCCAAACCAAGCAATTTATGGCCCCAATTTCCCAGCACCGGGAAAAGATGAACGAGACCTAAAGTGAATAAGGTACGAGACAAAATTCAATGCTGCTTTGTATTTTATACGCATACCTTCACAACCAAAACGTCAGCACCTAAAGAGCAAATTATGGCGTGTTCTACACTATTTTATGGCCCCAGTGCTGACCACGATTCTCCACCCACCGTAGCTAATCAATAAATTTACTAAGAATGCTGGAAAGTCTTCCTCATCGCAAGAAGGCCTGGCACAGGAATTTAACAGCAAGCATTCGTCAGCTGCATCCTCTGTGTCCTCTCAGGCCACTTCCCTTCCAAGGGTGACCTCGGTGCACAGGTTCACTGTTAGGCGCCTCGGGAAACAGTGTTTTGGGGTGATCTGAAATAAATTCCCTTCCTCTGCCAGGGCCTGCCTGCCTCACCTGCCCTCTGCCAGGACCTGCCTCCTTCAGCACCTAACGCAGAGCCTCCTCCCAGCGAGCCCGGCTCCAGCAGCATCAGCCCGGTGCCCGCACCTCGGCTCCGCGCGCCGCAGCCACAGCTCGCCCGGGACCCCAGAGACCCCTCCCCGGCCCGGGGCTCGGAGCCCGGCGGCGCCGGCCCGGGACTCCGCTCCATCCCCTCCGCCCGCCCCTCCAGGGCCGGGCGCGCGGCGCCGTCTCCCCTCGCAGCGCGCGCGGTGCAGTGGCCCCGGCTCCCCGCGCGCCGTCCCCGCCGCTCTCGGCCCCGCACCCCCGCAGGCTCCCGAGGTCCGGCCGCTGCGCTGGCTCCTTCCCGCTCCTCGCGGGCGCGAGGCTCCAGCACCGCGCTCCTCTCCCGCAGCCCGCGGCCGCTACCGCGGACCCCCCACCTTACTCACTTCCCGGCCGGAGCTGGGGGGCCTCGAGAAGGTCTCCAGCGGCCTCAGCCTCCTCCGCCTACTCCGGCCCGGACCCCACAGCTGAGGCGACGGCAGCGCCCGCTCAGGCCCCGGAGCCGCCCCCGCGGCGAACGTTCCCAGGCGCCCGGCACGCGCAGCGAGCCCGCC